AGGAGCTGCCACAGCTTCCCTTTGGGTGACATGATCCAGTCTGTAGCTCCCACCAAGCCCTCAACTGGCTCCCAGGCACCTGCCCAGAGCCAAAAGAGATGTGCACCTTCCTAGTCTCGTGCAGAGATCCTGGACCTTATTAAATTTTGGGGTGATGAGACCAACCTCCAGGATTTCCGCACCAAGCGCAGGAATGTCTATGACTGCATGGCCGAGAACTTGACCAACAAGGGGTTCATCCGCACCCAGGAGCAGGTGTGGATGAAAGTCAAAGAGCTCTGTCAGGCATATGTCAGGGCCAGGGAGGCCAGCTCCCACTCTGGGACAGAATCTCATACCTGCCCCTGCAATGAGGACCTGGACTACATCCTGGGGGTGCACAGTCCCATCATCCCTTTCCCCTGGTAGTGGACTTGGGGCTCGAAACACTCCTCCTCCTCCTCCTGAGGGACAGAGAAGAGGAGGAGGAGGAGGAGCAGGACGACACCAACACGATGACTGTCCTGATCCTGCAGCCAGTACCCCATGCTGTGGACGTGTCCCAGGCATCGTCTGAAGCTGGGGAATGGACAGCACATGAGTGCCATCACGTTCCCTTCACACTGGGTGGAGGTGATGGGTGGCGAGGGGTAGCTGGGCACTTCTTGCTTGGCCCATGGGGCCTAGGGATCACACAGAAGCCTGTGTATGTAGGAGCTCATGCCATGCCGCTCCTGGCCACTCAGCATCTGGGGGCTGCGACAGAGGACTCTTGGGTTATTGGCCACAGGGTGTCTGTAGAGGCTTGCCGTACTCATGATACCGGGATGGAACACTCTCCCTCCAAAAGCCACCTACGCTCAGGATACCAGAGTGGGACACCCTCCATCCAGCATCTGAACTGTGCCTTCACCATGCAGTCCTGCTGAGCTTGGGATTGTAACATTTTCAAGAGGGGTTGAGGTGGCCAGTGTATGGCTTCATGAACCAGGGCAAGAGAGGCTAGGCTGCTTCCTACACTATGCACATGGGCATGTCCATGTCCCCAACCCTGATGGTGCAGAGGAAGAAAAATGTTCTGGCATGCAGCTTCTCGAAGACGCTCGAGTTGTGAAAGACACGGGCATCATGTGCCTTCCCTGATCACCTGACATAGGTGTCCATAAACTGGCCTCGGTGGTCTGTGATGGTCTGCAGGACTATCAAAAATTATCCTTTCTGGTTGATGTAGAGAGATGCCTGGTGGTCAGGGGCCTGAATGGGGATGTGGGTGCAATTAATAGCCCCTCCTCCCTCCCGCAGTTGGGGAAGCCCATGTGGGCAAAGCTGGCGACAGTGGTGTCCATATCGCCGAGCTGGATGACCCTGTACAACAGGATGGTGTTGATGGCCCACACCACCTATAGAAGGAGACAGACAGTGAATCACACCGGAGCCAGGGCTCTTGGGAGGTCCCCCAGCACACCCCTGCTCCCCCCACACCAACACACACCAGAAACAACCCCCCCCACACTTACCCCATCCCCAGGCAGTTCTGAAAAAGCTCCTCATCCTGAAATTCTGAAGCCACTGCTGGTCTTCCCACCGCTCCATGATGAGCCGGTCCCACCAGTTGGCACTGGTGTCCAGACATCACAATCAGCAGTGCACGGTGGGAAGGTGGGATTCGGTTGTATGAGCTGTACCTGCAGAGATCCAAGAAAGGTCTCCCAGAGGAGCTGGGGGTGGGCTTCCCACACAGCCTGGCTGGCAGCCTGCAGAAACTGTTGTATTACTTGCAGCACAAGCTGCAATATCCATAGACTACCAAGAGGCAGCTTTGGCTCAATAGCTGGCAAGCTGAGGTGTCTGCAAGGGCAACCACAGCAGGCAAAAGGAAAGGTTTTGCTGTCCCTTGAGGAGATAGGCAAAGGGAAAAAAGCTGGAAACACTGCTGTACAGGGGTTCCTTTTAAGCAAGAGCCTCAGATAGCTTCAAGCAGCAGCCACACGAAGTGAGTGCTGACCTGATGCCTTGCCTGAAGTGGTTCCGGGTGGCCTTAAGTGTGATTCAGTGTCCAATGAGTGTGGACACTCTATTTTGAAATAGCTAAGCACTACTACATTTGGCATTTAGACACACTATTTCAAAATATCTTCTTAAATAGCTTATTTCAAAATAAATGTGCCGTGTAGACATAGCCTAAAGTGCCACAAGATTACTCATTGTTTTTATAGAGAACATCAGTATAACTGGGGTAGGAGCTGATACTAAAATAGGGAAGGAACAAGCTAGATATCTTCAAGTTGGCAGGCCTGTTGAAATACATCCTAAAATACCCAGGAAAAAGGATGAAGAAATCCCTTAGTCATTGGTGTTTATCCTTAAGAAATAAGGATGGAAGACATAATTGAGGACTGGAAAAAAAGCAAATATAATACCTGTCTTTTAAAACAACAATAAAGACAAGCCATCTTAACTTCAGTGCCTGGAAAAGTAATGGAGCAATTAATCAAACGTTCAGTTTGTAAGCACCTAGAAGAAAATAAGATAATAAGTAACAGTCAATGTGGATTTGTAAAGAACAAATCATATAACCCAATCTAATATTCCTCTACAGGAATGGTGGGAAGTGGTAAATATGGTATATCTTGGCTTAAGTATGGCTTCTTATACTATCTCTCATAACCTTCTGTAAACTAGATATAGACCGAGTCTAAATGAACCTACTATAAAGTACTATGAAGTGCACAATTGACTGGAAAACCTCACTTGCAGAGTAGTTATCAGTTGCTCACAATTGAGCCAGAAGGGCATATTGAGTGGAGTCCCACAGGAATCAGATCTAGGTCTGGTTTTATTCAATATCTTCATGAATTATTTAGATAATGGCCTAGAGAGTACACGTTTAAAGTTTTTCAGATGGTATCAAGCTAGGAGGGGTTACAAGTGCTTTGAAAAACAGGATTTAAATTTAAAATGATTGTGACCAGAGAAATGGTCTGAAATAAATAGGATGAAATTCAATAAGGAAAATACGCAGCACTGTAATAGGGAAGGAAAAATTGTAGAAATACAAAACAGGAAATGACTGCATAAAGAGGAGTACTGCAGAAAAGAAGCTGGTTTTTATTGTGGATCACACACTAAGTAAGGCTCAACAGCATAATACTGTTGCAAAAAAACCCCCACCAAAAATAAAAAAAACAAACAACAAACATTATCCTGGGATGTATTAGAAGGAGTGGTGTAAGAGACACAATAAGTAATTCTTCCATGCTAATGCCTCAGCTGGAGTAATGTGTGTAATTGGAGAAACTATAGAAGAGAACAACAAAAATAATTAAAGGGCTAGAAAACATGACCTACAAGTAAATATTGGAAGAAATGGGTTTCTTTAGATTGTAAAAGAAAAAAAAAAGATTAATGGGGGACATAACAGTCTTTAGGAACATAAAAGGATGTTTTACAGGAAATGATAAATTGTTCTTTTTTTTACCACTGAGGACACGTTATGAAGAAATGGGCTAAAATTTAGAAAAGGAGATTTAGGATAATTATTAAGAGAAACTTCCTAAGTGTAAGAGTTGTTGAACAGTAGAATAAATTACTCTACAATAGGGGAAATGTGAAATCTCCATCATTGGATGCTTTAATCAACAGGTGAGACGAACACATGTCAGGGATGGTCTAGATCAGGGCTACTCAACTTTGGAAGCCCCAGGGACCAGAATGATACTCACAGCACATGCCGAGGGCTGCAACATAAGTGTGGTTGCATATACATGCAAATATGTATGGAAATAGCTGCTTTCACACTGACAGGCATAAATACAAAGATTAAGGCAAGACTGCACACCACACAGGCCTGATTTAAGTCAGTTCTGCTGATATTAATAAAATGCAATATTTAATCAATTTCCATCCAATTGACAGCACTTTTAATGAGCAATGACATTCCTGGAATTTAATTATTAAAACACATATCAACAGAAGACCATTATATTGATCAATTAGGTTTTTTTGGCTCCCGCCTGCTGGCTTCATGTTGAGTCCCTCGTAAACCCAAACTGCACTGTGGGCCTCAAACAAACAGGCTGCAGGCCACATGTAGCCTATGGGAGGCGTGTTGATTAGCTCTGGTCTAGATAATATTTAGTCCTGCCTAGGTGCATGGGACAGGACTAGATAATCTATTGAGATCTCTTCCAGTCCTATATTTCTATAGTATATAATTAACTTATACTTTTATTGGCTTTACATTTACACGATGACTTATGTCATATAGAAGCTTGTAAGATGGCTGTCACGTTATAGAAGTGGCATGAGTACTTACATTCTGTTTTTGAAATGTTTAGTTGTTATGGCATTAACAATTTTTCTTTTTAATATTTTTGGCTTCAGTGAATTGTGAACCTTTAAGAAATATACAACATGGCAAATTCTCTTTAAGTTTCTGCAAAATAAAATAAAATAAAATAAAATAAAATAAAGAGCAAGAACACACACAACCCTCACTCACAAACACAAGCTCAGCATACAGCAAGAAAGCCCCAAGCACAACACCCACTTCTCCCAAGACTCCTGTATCTACTTCTCCTCTACCTGGAGAACTCTCCCTCTAAAGCCTCACTCAAACGGGGGGGAGGAGGGGGGAGAAAAAAAAAACCCACAAACCACCACACACCAAACAAACACAAGCTCTGCACACACTGAGAAAGCCCCAATAACAAAACACACTTCCCTCAAGAGTCCTGTATCTGCTTCTCCTTCACCTGGAGAACTCCCTCTCAAAACTCCCTGTTAGCAATCACCTGTTCGCAAATTCTCTTTAAGTTTCTGCAAAATAAAATAAAATAAAATAAAATAAAGAGGTGCGAGCACACATGCAATCAGGAAAGAAGTATGGAATGATTGTGTTTGAATCCGCTAACCACAGTACCTTCTTAGTCCATGTTAAGTAACAGATATATTTATGTTATTGGGAGCATGGTCAGAATTCTCTTACCTGTTGTTTGTCTTTATTACTTAGGAAAAGAAGCCCATCAGTATCGAGAGATCAGAACAGAAGATACGACCAAAGGGACGAGAGAGACGAATACTCACAATATGCTACATCAGACAGTGCAATGCCAAGGTCACCATCAGATTATACAGATAGACGATCACAACGTGGGTCTCAGCTATACGAAGAACCTGAACTTGGTGACTACAGAGATTCTAACAGAAGAATTCACAGACATTCCAAAGAGTATTCTGTAGAGGAAGATGATGTGCAGAACAGAGAGGAATATGAGAGGCAGAGGCGAGAAGAGGAATACCAGGCACGGTACCGAAGTGATCCTAATTTGGCTCGTTATCCTGTCAAACCACAACCATATGAGGAACAAATGCGTATTCATGCTGAAGTGTCCCGAGCACGCCATGAACGAAGACACAGTGATGTGTCATTGGCAAACACTGAACTGGAAGAGTCCCGGATATCTATGTTGAGGATGGAACGACCGTCAAGGCAAAGATCTATATCTGAGCGCAGAGCTCCCATGGAAAACCAACGTTCCTATTCGGTGGAAAGAACTAGAGAGGCTCAGGAACCAAGTCCCAATCGTCAGAGGACAACAAATCATAGCCCTCCAACACCTAGGAGGAGTCCAATTCCTCTGGATAGGCCAGACATGAGGCGCACTGATTCATTAAGGAAACAGCAGCATTTGGATCCCAGTTCTGCTGTTCGGAAAACAAAACGTGAAAAAATGGAAACTATGTTAAGGAATGATTCACTCAGCTCAGATCAATCTGAGTCAGTAAGGCCTCCACCACCAAAGCCACATAAAACAAAAAAAGGAGGTAAAATGCGTCAGGTTTCATTGAGCAGCTCAGAAGAAGAATTGGCTTCTACTCCAGAATATACGAGCTGTGATGATGTAGAGATTGAAAGTGAAAGTGTTAGTGAAAAAGGTAAGATTTAAAACCTTTTTTACTATTGCAATATTTAATATGGGCCATTGTTTATTCCATTGTATTTTTATTTTATTTAATATACCAGATTAAATCATGTGACCTATATAGCAGTTCCCATGTGCTTTTCAGTTTCAATTTTCAATTTTATTTTATTTTTTGCTTTTTTATGTTCAAATATGTTTAATGACAAATTTCAGTAAGGGTCACATGGAAAAGAGCAGTGAAGTTTATAAATTCATTTGGATACGCTACTTATTTTTGAAAGGGACAACTGTGTCTGTGGAAAGTTTTCAATTAGCTCTTTCAAATATCTGGGTTTTGTGGTCACATAAGATTTTCTTGGTCGAATGATTGGATGAAATCACAAATCTGTCAAAAGGCTACATTTTTAATGATGTTGGCTGAAACAGTAAAACATTTAGGATCAAATTCTTCCTTCATTTATGCTTGCGAAAGGTGAGTGACTTCAGAGTGGTTGCAAGGGTGAAAAAGAGAGAAGAATATGACCCCTATTTGTTAAATATGTGAATCTATTTAGCTGAGTGAATAGGAGATGAAATTTTGTGGTTCATATGGATTGTGCTTCAGAGTAAACATTCTAATTTTATGTTCCTGTAGTAGAAATGCTGATCTGACCACTCTGTTAATCAGAAAGTCAATTTGACTGTTTGTTAGGTGCATGCAAAAATGACTCTATTAATCTAACATTACAAAAATATCATTTCTTCCCCACTACAGACTAGAATGGTTTGAATTTGCTGATGTAAAAACCATATGAAAAGTCAGAACAGCAAAACTGGACTTGGAGTCTGAGTAGTCTTTAGGGATGCAAACTTTTTGAGTGCAGAAAATAAAACACCCTTGCCACATCCCTGTCCTGCCCCTTCTTCAAGGCCCCCCACTTCATCTCCCTCCTTTGCTCTCTCTCCTCCAACCTTGTTCACTTGTATATCTACACTACAGCATTTTTTCAAAAATATCTTATTTTGAAATAGTTAATTCGAAACAAGATATTTCGAAATAACGCGTCTACACACAAAACACATTTCGAAATAGCGTTTTGCTATTTTGAAATAGTGCGTCCACACTGACTGGAGCTGAATTGAATTTAAGGTGTGGCCGGAACCAGTTCCGGCAGGGCACCAGGTCAGGACTTACTGTGTGGGGCTG